AAAGGAATACCAAAGCGCTACTTATTCGGTCCCCTTCAGAGCAATGCAGCCAAAGGTCTATGTTGGTGTACACGAGGAGCAGGAAGAAGTATTTGTAGTTCCTGCCGGCAAAGCGGGTGAGAAGCCGACCCTCAACCCTGAACCTTGACTTGAAACCCGGAAGGCGCGCAGGTTGTGGACGCCTAAACGCTGAATTTTCTCCGCCATAAAACTCTGTCCCCACAACTACCACTTCACATTCCTCCTTCATGAAGAGAACGGTCCCTTAAGCTCCTGACTTTTGAGGCCCTAGTCTTCTTATCCTGGTACAGAGTTGAGGATTTCCGGTGGCGAGCTTACGACTTATTAGGACTCTACGGTCCTAGTAGTGCTCTGATCGTACTATGGTTATTTGTCGGCTTTGTCCCGTCCTGTTCTCCTGGCTGTTACAGCACTGCTTTTGCTGGGAGCTGTGCATCCGTTCCGATTTTTTCTCTTGTGCTTGAAGACTCGTCAGCGCACATTTCTCTTAAACTACCACCGCCCCACCCAGTCAATCTTTCAAGCTCAATACCCGGCGATACTGAAGCAGCTCCTTACCACTAAGTCAGCAAGTAGGGTTGACATGTGTTGAAATCCGAAACATGCAACTCAAGACTTCAACCTGACAACCCACAACCACGAAAGCCGCAAAGCCTAGCAGTGCTGACGTGGGGAACCCGAAACCCGAAACCCTTGCAGTTATGACTTCTGAGATTCGAGGTTGGGGTTTCCTGGGGACTGCGGCCCCACTGTGACCCTCGGAGCTTGAGCCTGACAAGGTCAAAGCACTGAAACTTTTCTCACATCTTAGGTTAGGTCAGAACACTGCATCGAGGGCTTGGGTCTGGGATGTCAACATCCTTGAGTAGTGGGATCCCAGCAATTCCTTGCGTATATGCCCGGATCACGCTTTACGAGATGGGAATATAATTAGGGATTGGGTAATAATTCTGGCGCCGGCCTGAGTAGCAGCAAAGTACCGCTAAAATTCCTATACTTACTCAATGCAGCCTTGTATGGAGGACTGTAAACGGCTCCCCTGCCGAACTTCGAAACACCTTCAGCAAGGAATCTTCTTGAGATTACCGTGCCCATAAACACAGGCGACCCTCAATCTAGGGACATTGGAGCCTGTGTAAACCACCGTACTGTAAATCCTAAAGCTTACCTGAGCCCCCCCGCAAACATCAAGACCCCCAACCTTAAACCCAAAATCCTGTACCCTAAAAGCGAGCGTGCTAAACCGATGGGCCTGAATCCCACGCAGTTATATATCCAGGGGCAGTGATGGTCCATCTTCAGGATGCACATTCGGCAAACCTTTAGGTACACATTCTCTGGACGGCTTTTCTGTTTCATTAAACGCTCAGGATTTGGGGTTCTGGAATATAGTTTTTGGTTTCGAAAGTCAGGAGACGTGAAGTAGCATGGTTTCCGGACTTTGAGAGCTATGTTTTAAGGTTCGCGGAAATCCAACGGGATTGTCGTCAGGCTTCCTGAGAATCGCAGCATTCTGCTTCTCGATCCCGGGTTGAAGCGCGGCGCTGACTTATCTTGCTCAGGGAAGACAGGTGGTTCTATTGAGCTGTCTTTTTGTTTTTTCGAAGGCTCTAGCTTGTGCAGAGTTCGGAATACGTCATTGCTCCTGTTTGCGGTTGATCCTTCAGGACGACTGGGTGGTTCTCTGAATTGGTGGTGACTCTTTAGTATCCCTGTGTTATGTGCTGTACTCGTCTGGGGAGCTACAGTTACACCGGAATACAACAGTCCTCACAACACGCAGGCACCTAAAAACTCCGATATCCTGGTTCGAAGAGGCCGGAACATAAGGCCAAGGCCCGACAGTGATGGGTCCGATCAGGCTTGTACCTGGCTATGGCCCAGCCTTTAGGATTTCAGGTTGAGGGTTTGGGGATTTAAAGCTTGGAGTCGAGGATTCAAAGGAGCGTGCTACATAAAAGGGTGCCGATGCTTCGTACAGTGAAAAATCATTGCTGTTAATGCATACGAATCTTGCCCTCAACCCCGAACGGAAGGCACTAAAAGTCTAAAGCTCTAAACCCTACTTCTCAAGGCGTCCCCCTAAAGTCCATGAGCCTTAAACCCCAATCGCAATCCCTAAACGCCATGAACCCTTACAAGAAGAAGCCTGATGCTGAGTAACCATCCTGAACGAAAATTCACCAACGTGTAAAGCCTCCAAGTAACACAACATCGGAAGAGATGAACTACCACCTAAGGACTCTAAACACAGTCTACAAGCCAAAGGAAGACTGACAGGCTAAAGGGCCTACTCAGCTAGTAATGAATGGCAATGAAGCATAACTTAAGACCACCGACAAACTCAAAAACCGGTCCAAACCCTTATCAAAGCTAAAATGCTCCGGAAGCCTATACCTGAATTCAAAGTCCTAAAAGCCAGAAGACACATGACATACTCTAAATCCCTAGTCACACTCGATCCTCGTACCTCCAAAGCCATTATATATGGGCTTCCAAGAGAAACAGGCACGACTGATGGGTCCAAGGTGCTTCAGGCACCACTTACACTTCCGTCGCTCCCCAGAGCGCTTCTGCTCCTGCAACAAGAAAAGGGCGAGGGCTTCTTTATGATATCGTATAAGATTTCGAGATGCAGGGCTTGAGGGCTTTAGGGTGTAGGATTTAGGGTCTCAGGGTGTATATAAAGATGTGTAGCGAGTGAGGATGAGGGTTCAGAGTTTCAGCTGGGAGGGCATTGGCATTGGGGGTTTCAGGGGTGTTGGGAGGGTGTTGAGGGTTGAGGGCTTCAGTGTGAGGCTTCTTGCAATGCTTTGCTTGAAAGGGTTCAGGATCGTGGGCTTGGCCTTTGGAGGTTAAGGGCCGTTGGACCACGTACCTGCCCGAACACAGGCCAAGCTCCTGAGCACAGGGAAGCCGGCTTCGAATGCTCAGACTTGGGGGTCGAAACCTTCGGCCTTAGTCCCTGGAACCCCAAACCCGAACCCGAAACCCGCGAGCTCCCCAAAGCCCTCTGTATCGGCTTAAGCCTTAAGCTCGCGCCTGTCTGATGTGCAGAGCCGTATCCACGGCGATGGGTTGGGGATCCTGCTCGCTGTGAAGACAGGCTTCTTGAGCTCGGCTACTGTAACTTGTAAAGCTTCTTGAGAGGGCTACAGGGACAAAGTGGAAGTCTGGGAGTTGGCAAATTCCGAACATGGCCGGGAACCGAACCTTCCCGGAAGAAGGAAGGAAGAAAGACCTGTTGCGTGGTGTATGAGCCTCAAGCTCTCAAAGCTGCCAGGCCCGACAGCTTGCAAAAGAGTGGGTTCTGATGACATGTCTCTCTCAAACAAAGAAACCCCGCACTTATGCGCGGCTGTCCGGGCTTGCCCATGATAAGGTCCAAACCTCAAACACACTAAATTGGGCCCATGTGGCGCTCCCGAGCCACAATCGCGTTGGATCCAAGCACTCAAGACCTAAGTCGCCAAAGCCCTACAGTAAAACCCTGCAACAAAACGTATCCTCGGCAACAACTCTGAAGCCCAGCAATTTTCAACCCCTAACCCTTGAAGACCTGAGAATGATGAAGCCCTGACCCCAATTTTGACAGCCCGCGGCACCACATAAATCCCGGCAAAGCCGCACAGAGGAAGCATCCAACCCGTGAGCCTGCCTCGGAGCCATCGTACTCCCAGGAAGGGTCCTGTCGGATCGACTGCCTTTTGGGTACTGGCTTACAATTCAGCCTTGTGAGCTTCGGGGTTCAGAGTTCCATAGCTTTCCAGATCTTTTGGGTTCGAGTCTTGTGGAATTGAATTTGGGATTTGGCGTTGAAGCCGTGGAGGAGTATTGGGCGTAGCGCGGACCTGCCGGTGAGTTGCTACAGCCTCCAAGCACTCACGCGATGATCCGAACCCTGAGATCCGAGCCCCTCTGTGCGGCGCGGGCTTGGCAGAATACATGCAGGAGCCCATCCAGAAACGATCAGAAAAGGGATGTTGGGGTTGGGGCAAAATGATGCATAAGCCTAAGCATGTGAGGAAAGAGAAACAAGCACTGAATTTGGAGGCTCCTGTAACGACTTTTTCGGTCTAAGGACAAATTTCGATTGCTTGTTCTTGTGAATCTCCTCGGCTGCAACCCTCAATAGGACGTAGAGTCGGAGGCGAGTCGGAGGACGACAAGACAAAACAAGACCTGAATCCTGAAGTTCTTAACTCGACGCGGTCCGCGACACCGTGACCCTGAGCCGAAAAGATACTCTAAGAATCTGGGTGTAGGCATCTTGTGCTCAAGTGCTGCTACTCGGTTGTCGTCTCATGCTTCTTCCTCTTGCTGTGGCTACGGCACGATCACCGTTCTGACGGCCCCTCAACTTTCGGACCTTCTGTGTTGATAAGGACCTGCCTTAACTTTTGAATCCTGCGCTGCCTATAAGACTTCAGCTTGTCTCCGTACGAGCTAGTACAACCCAAACTCCCCACTCCCGTAATCTCTTTCCCCAAAAACGTGAACCTAAACTACCTAGCACTAAGCCCGCAATCCGACGGCCAATGACTCCTTAAACTCACACGGCGCCATTTTGCCGCTTCGCAGCTCGGCCCTGCGACAGGACTTGGACCACTTCACGGTAGCCTCTGGCTGAAGCCAAGGAAAGAGCCGTGTTCCCCACACCTGGATTTTGAAGGTTGTTCTTTTTTTCATGAGGCTTCTTCACTGAAACTTCAACTTCAACAAACAGCAGTACACTAGCTTAAGTGGCTCACCTGAAGTTGTCGAGACAGACCAAGGCACGGTCAACGAGGCTACTGTCGGCGAAGGCCTCCAAGAGGAGTCGCACATTACCTGGATTGTAGTTTAGGGGAATTACAAACATGTAAAGCGGCACGTATACCTTGCCTTTTGAAACCACAAGAAACCCTTTTGTGCCTCCGCACGTCCCCGCTTCGTCCATAAGACCATGCGGAACTTACGCAAATTAAGCACCTGGTTACTGTCAAGGCCAAGATCGGAAGCTGCATGGAGTGCGGTGCGGTGATCGTCGTCCTGGGCTGTTCTTATCGAAAACATGATCTTACCTCTTTCTTGGAGGGCTCGCTGATCTTATCCTACGCCCTGAATCCTGAACCCTATCGACCCTAAACTCGAAATGGCAAAGCGTCACCCAAGTCAGGGTCAGCTCTCGCTTTCAGGATCAAGTGCAGAAGAGCAAGATTCCCTTGTCTTGCTGCCACATGCAACGGTGTTCGCCCGAAGTTGTCAGCCAAGTTCTTCTCGGCTCCTCCATCCAAAAGAACTTCCAAGATAATCTGGAAGCCACGTGAGATCAGGTCATTGTCTTGGGAACGGTGGAACTGAGCCATCTCTTCGTGCGAATGAAGGACTGCATGAAGAGGTGTTCTGCCATCGTCGTCGGCGAGATTTCTTAGTTTTCTGATAAGGAGCTCAGTTTGAGATACCAAATTGCGGATAACTATAGTGTCTTCCGTATAGATGAAGATGCACACCCGCATTCCCAATCTTTGGTATGGTATCTGAAGTCCACAAGAACCCTGCCAACAAAAAACAACGATAAGCACCCTTGAAAAAAAAGCCGTGGGGCAGGTCCGCCCCAGCCCGCAACAGCTGCCACACCATCATGACATCCCCTCTTCTCGCGGCACTCACCTTAGAGTCGTTGAGTTCAGAGGACACGAGTCAGTTTCGGTGTAGGGCTGTACGGGGCTTTGGGGGTTTGGGATTTCTGGTTTAACGATGAGCAGGATATTCCTGCCAAGTTAACAGGTAGGTGCATGCAACTCCGCTTGTAACCTGTTGTTGATGTACCTTGATCTTGATCTGTCCAAAAAATACCCGAAAGCCTACAAGCCCGGAGTATGAAGCATCGTCGGTCTTCGTGAACCAACCAGCCAGCAAAACCAAAAGAACAGCTCACAAGAACCGCCCTGAGAAGACCAAGAGACCAGCGCAGTTTTGCCGCGACTGTCTGCCAAATCCTTGTCGGCCCTTGCTGCCAGCAGCAGGCCGACCACTTCACCGTGACCTCGACGCGAGGCACCTCGTGGAGCTCTTTGGAGGTGTTTCTTGTTGGCTTCAGAGACTCAGCGGCTGAGGCATCGAGAGGAATTTGGAAGTGCAGCGATTTTGTATGCTTTAGGGCCTCTAGGGTCCAGAATTTGTTGATTTGCTGAGGCTCCTTTGGTCCGCAGTACTGGGGAATCCCCCATGGAAGGGTCGCCGTCTTGGGGATCTAGCGTCTCGAAGGCCTACACCTGCAGGAGTTCGGGATCGACTGCTGCCTAAGACCCTAACCCGAACCATCAAACCCGCGACATTGCACGCCCGCTAACCCTGTAGTCTTTTCCGATAACCCCCCACCTATCAAGGCGGTCCAGCCGAGACATCCACGATTGTCCTGGGGTCGGGAATCACCAAGACGAAGCGCGGTCTCCCCCTCTTCTCCATCTTTCCCTCTCGCGCTCGCTCTCTCTCTCTCTCTCTCTCTCTCTGTCTCTGTCTCCCTCTCCCTCTCCCTCTCTCTCTCTCTCTCTCTCTCTCTCTCTCTCTCCC